TTAGGGTAATGCTGGCCTCATAGGATAAGTTAGGAGATGTTCCCTCCTCTTTTTGTAAAAGTTTGAGAAGGAAATGTTTGATAGAATTCACAAATTGAGTAATCCTGGACTTTTTCTTAATGAGAAGTTTTTGATTACTGATTCAATCTTTTACTTGTTACACATTTTCTATTTCTTCTTGAGTCAGTTTTGGTAGTTTATATATTTCTAGCAATTTGTCCTTTTCATGTAGGTGATCTAATTTATTGGCATGCAGTTGTTCATAGTGTTATCTTATTCTTTTATTTCTATAAGGTCTCCAGTAATGTCCCCACTTAATTTCTGATTTTACTAATTTGAGTCCTTTTTTCCCTTCTTGGTCACTCTAGCAAAAACTTTGTCAATTTTGCTGATATTTTCAAAGACCAACTTTTGGTTTCATTGATTCTTTGTTGTTTTTATATTCTTTGCTTTGTGTTTATCTCTGTTCTGATCTTTATTATTTCCTTCCTTCTACTAGCTTCCTTTCTGTTCACTTGATCTTTTTCTAGTTCCTAAAGGAGTGAAGTTAGATTATTGATTTGAGATCAATTTTCTTTTTTAATATAAGCTTTTAGAACTATACATTTCCCTCTGAGCCCTGCTTTGCTGCAGCCTATAGATTTTGGTATGTTATGTTTTCATTTTCATTTGTGTCATGTATTTTTTAATCTCACCTGTATTTCCTCTTTGACCCATCCATTGTTTGAGTGTGTTGATTTCCATATATTTGTGAATTTTTCAGTTTTTCTTTGTTACTGATTTCTAGTTTTATTTCACGTGGTTAGAGAAGATATTTTATTGGGATTTCAGTCTCTTTAAATTTATTGGGATTTTTCTTGTGGTCTAACATATAGTTTATCTTGGAGAGTGTTGCATGTGCACTGGAGAAAATGTGTATTCTGTTGTATACCATTGTTCTATATATGTCTGTTCTAGTTGGTTTATACTGTTTTTCAAGTCCTCTATTCCCTAATCTTTTGTCTAGTTCTGTCCATTAGAGCTCCCCAGCTCTCTTTTGGTTACTATATTCATGGAATATCTTTTTCCATCTTTTCACTTTCAAATCTTTTTGCATCTTTGGATCTAAAGTGAGTGTCTTGTAGATAGCACAGAGTTGGATTATGTTATTTATTTTTGTGTTTTGTTTTGTTTTCAATCCTCACCCCCCAGAGTGAGGATATTTTTTTCCATTGATCTTTAGAGAGAGTGTAAGGGAAGGGGGAACAGAGGGGTGGGGGGAGAAATATCGGTGTGAGAGAGAGACGTTGATTGGTTGCCTCCCACACTCACCCTGGCCGACTGCGGGCAGGGATCAAACCCGAAACACTCTGGTGCACAGGTTGATGCTCTAACCATTGAGCAACACTGGCTAGAGCTGGATTACGTTTTTCTAATCCATTCTTCCATTTTCTGCCTTTAACCCAACATTTTAATCCTTTTCTATTTAAAGTAATTACTGTAAAGGAAGGCCTGCTATTTTGCTACTTGTTTTCTATGTGGTTTTATACCTTTCCCCCCTGTTATTCCTCTATTGCTGCCTTCTTTTGTAATTTATATTTTTCTGATGTACCATTTTGTTCCCCTTATTTCTTTTTCTATAATTTTTTTAAAAAATTTTTTCTCATTGATTACCCTGGGGATTACAATTAACATTTTAACTTTTAATAATCAAATTTGAATTAATACAAACTTTGCTTTAATTGTATATAAAACACTGCTTCTTTACAGTTCCATCTTTATATATTGTGTGCCCGTTAAGCTATATTTGAAATTATTGTTTTATACATTTGCATATTAAATCCATGGGGGAAAAAGGACTTACAAGCCAAAAATGTAATACTGGTTACTTTTATATTTACAAATGTAGCTACCTTTACCATTGTTCTTTATTTCCTCATGTTCTTCAAGTTACTGTTTAGTGTCCTTTCATTTCAGCCTGGAAGACTTCCTTTAGCATTTTTTATAGTACAGGTCTAGTATAACAAACTTCTTCAGTTTTTGTTTATCTGGGAGTGTCTTAATTTCTCCTTTAGTTTTGAGACAGTTTTGATGGATATAGAATTTTTGATAGTTTTTTCTTTCACTTTCTACCCCTTCTCTAAGGTTTATTGTTGCTTCTTATTGTGGGTTGTTATTGTTTGCTTGTTTAGTAACTTTTTCAACTATTTTTATAGAGTCTATATTCTTTGTCGTGTGTGGCCACTGAACAAGTCTGTTCTGTTTGCTTATTGGTCAGCTAATGTTTAAGGACAATTTCCTTAAACATTTGAAAACAAAAGAAAAAAATATTCTTTCAACACTTAACCAGACCATTTGTAACCCTTCCTTAGCCTTCACTTACTGCTTCATCAGAGCCTGAAGGTCAACCAAACGCGAAAGCTTAGGGTCTTCTCAGGCCTTTCCTAAGTATGTGTCCAGCCCCACCTATGTCTTGGGCAATCTTCACTTTCTGTTATACACAGGAACTTTTAAAAGCCCTTATTACCCCATATGTATCATTTCCCAAACTCTTCTTTCCCAGGGTCTTTAGTTTCTGTTCCTTATCTCAATTGTCCCTTGCCCCAGGCTGCTGTATCAATTAATGATTTCAGCAAAAGATACTCTAGCCCTAGGAATGCTCCAAGCCAGGTGAAACCAAGGCAAGATAGGTTGAAACCCACAATCACAGTTCTTTGAGAATAAGATCTTTGGCACTCCTTCTGGCATTAGGAGTGCAGATTGCTGTTCTCACAACCACTACTGATTTGGGATATAAGCGATGGTTGTCCAGCAACTTAAAATGCCACAGCTTTCTCTATACTACAGAGCAGCAGCTGCTTTCTTCACTAAGTCTTGCCCTAGTTTTAATAAAAGTTTTTTACTACATTCCAGAGTTCTGCAAAAGTTGATTCTGACAGTTTTGCCAGCTCATTAATTACTTTTTTGGGTAAGGATGAAAGTCTAGAGTTTTCTACTCCATAGAAATCCCTAATGTGGGGATTTTAAAGGATGGTGATACCATTAACCAGAAGTAAGAAAATTGGGAGGAAGGGAGTTGATTTATGGATTTTATTTGGACATGGGTGTTTGTATTTGAGGTGCTGATGATACAATCTACAGATAACTAGTGACAATTGGAATTGTGGTGCTTGGATTCCAGAAAAAGCTTAGAGCTGCAAAGAGACCTTAGAACCTTCTATACAGAAATTACAGAAAATTAAAGGGTATGATTTCCTTGAAGTAGAGGGAAGTCCAAGCATGGCATCTTAGGAAACACTTTCAGTTAAGGAATCATTCACTTTGGATTCATTTCAGAAACACTCACTGTGTTGCTACTACTAGTGTAGGCACTTGCTAAGCACAGGTAATAATGATCCAATTTTTTGCCCTCAGGAAGCTCATTCTCTTATTAAAGAAACAGACAAGTAAACAAATAGAATGCAATTTTATAACAAGGTTTAGAGGAGCCCAGACAGAGACAAAAGAATATTTAAAACAGCTCTGTGGGAAAAACAAAGAAGTTAAAGAAGGAGAAGGTGATGGTGAAAGTCATCTGTGATCTTAGTTGCTGCATAGAGTTTGAAAAGATTGAGGACTTTAAAAGGTACTGATTGGCAGTGAGGAGATGACTCACTTTCATAAGAATGGTTTAAGTTGAATAGTTTTGGTAGAATAGTGGAGATAGGTGACCATATTATAAGGAGTTAAAAGTGAGTTGTGAAAAAATTGAAGGAAAAAGGGAAGCCATTTTTTTTTTTTTTAATTTATCTTTATTGTTAAAAGAATTACAGGTGTCATTTTCCCCCCCATTGACCCCTTCTACTCTGCACCCCCCTACCCCCACCTTCCCTCTGAAATTTATCAGGGAAGACAACTTTTTAAATAATGGCAGAGTTGTAACATTATTTTGGAATAGAAGTAATATGAGTATGGTTTTAGACAATAGAAGAGACTGAGTAGAAAGGAAACAAGGATGGCCAAGAGTCATAAAAGAGGCAGTAAAAGATGGTATCAAGAAGCCAGAAGGATCAGTAGTTAGAAACTTGGGTGGTGAAAGGATTGAGAGTAATGAGAAAGTTTTGAGAGAGTGAGAAGGTATTTGAGAAATTTCACCTAGGAATGCCTTAGTTTTCTTACTAAAAATAGAACACAAAAATCATGTGATAAGAAAGGAGCAATGGTGAAAATACCTGGCTGGAGTTGATGTAGCGTACATTTGTGATGATGGTACCATTTGGTGATTTTTTTCACATCTTTCAACTTATATATATATATTAAGCATCTATTGTGAGATCCTTCAGATTATATACATGAACAAAGTAAACAAAAGTTCCAGGCCTTGTGAAACTTACATGTGAATGGAACAAGGGGAGGCAAACAAAATAGTGTTATTTTAAAGTAAACATATGAAATAAATAGGTCTTGGAACTAAGAAAGCAAATGAGAGTATTGCCCAGACATAACTACAATTTTATATTGCATACATCAAGTTGTAAGTTAAGTGATTATATATTTCTGTACAGCTAATTATAAAATCTAGGTTTAAAAAGTAAGACAAGCAGAATATGGGTTTGGTGGACCCTTTATGTATGTACTTAGAGTGTAGATATGAGAGAAATAATCTGTATTTACATTTAAGAAAAATTGGTTAATTTAGGACAACTTTATAATTGTGCATTTATTTCAGGGTTTTTGACAAGAAAAAAGAGGAGAAGATAAATTGTCATATAACTGCAGTTAAGTGTTTGGTTATGGAAAGAATTGGTAAAAGGGGGTGGTGAAAAGGTAAAAATTTCTAATTATAAAATAAGTCATGGGGATAGAAAGAAGGGAGGAGAGAGGTATGGGAGGAAAAAAAGGAAAGAAAGAACGAAAGAGGAATTTAAGTTTAAAGGCTTGAAAGAATTAGAGTTGAAGATTTTTTTAAAATAGTAAGTTGATTTTTTAGGTTATCATTGTTTTGTATTCTCATTACTTTTTTTTTTTTTTAATCTAAACAGGCATTGGGAAAGTGAAAAGAAAACCCAGTGTGCCAGATTCTGCATCTCCTGCTGATGATAGCTTTGTTGACCCAGGGGAACGTCTCTATGACCTCAACATGCCTGCATATGTGAAATTTAACTACATGGCAGAGAGAGAGGATGAATTGTCATTGATAAAAGGGACGAAGGTGATCGTCATGGAGAAATGCAGTGATGGGTGGTGGAGGGGTAGCTACAATGGACAAGTTGGATGGTTCCCTTCCAACTATGTAACTGAGGAAGGTGACAGTCCTTTGGGTGACCATGTGGGTTCTCTGTCAGAGAAATTAGCGGCAGTCGTCAATAACCTAAATACTGGGCAAGTGTTGCATGTGGTACAGGCTCTTTACCCTTTCAACTCATCCAATGATGAAGAACTTAATTTTGAGAAGGGAGATGTAATGGATGTTCTTGAAAAACCTGAAAATGATCCCGAGTGGTGGAAATGCAGGAAGATCAATGGAATGATTGGTCTGGTGCCCAAAAACTATGTTACCATTATGCAGAGTAATCCATTAACCTCAGGTTTGGAACCATCGCCTCCACAGTGTGATTACATTAGGCCTTCACTCACTGGAAAGTTTGCTGGCAATCCTTGGTATTATGGGAAAGTCACCAGGCATCAAGCAGAAATGGCATTAAATGAAAGAGGACATGAAGGTGATTTCCTCATTCGTGATAGTGAGTCTTCGGTAAGTTGGTTTTCAAAGGTAAATGGAAATAGAGCTCTGGGTATTAAAAAAATAAATAGAAAATTGGAGAGGTTAAGTGTCTTCTCCATAAGTATTCTGAAGCTAACGTCAATGTTCTTTCCAACTTTGTTTTGAATAAAGTATAGCCCTAGCAGTGATACTACACTGGATTATTTGGCCTAGTCTAGTTCTGTTGGTTTTATATTCCTGAAATATTTTCTGTTGCATTAAACTGAAAAATGGAGAAAAGTTAACATTGGCTTCTTCATTAAGAGTAGAACAATGCAGTAGGCCAAACTGGGAAAACAATTCTTTCCCCTTTTGGGGGGGGAGGGGAGGGAACATTTTTTAAATTGCATATTGGATCCACTTTAGTCCATAAATAAAGGATATTCCTAAATTTAAAAAATGGATATTTAAGTTTCTTCATAAATTGCTTGTTTGGAAGTTGGAATACACTTTTACTATGCACCTCAAAAACATTTTTTTAACACTCAACAGTATTTAAAATGCATTTGTGATAAAAAAATTTTATTCTAAAACAAACAGTAAAACCATAAAAATTTAATAAGACAATAGTTACGTAGACTTTGTCTAGGATATTGGAATTTGATGATATTCACTTCCCTAAAAATGGCCTTTATTTTTCCTTGATAAAGGATACCACTATGTTTCCACTTCTCAAATCATGATTAGAAAGGACATTGTTTGTATGTATTTAGTTGTACAAAAGTGAATGTGTGATTGTACAAAAGATTGTAAGAAAGTCAGAAGAAAATCTGTCTTGAGTGGTGCGTGTGTGCGCACGCATGCATGCACATGCATGTGAGGGAGGGAGGAAAGGAGAGAGGGGAGATAGAGATTAATTGAACTGCCAGAGTGAAGTTCAGGAAATGGAGCCTATGCGTTCATGACCCGCCAGGTGATTGGCATTAGGGAAGAGTGGTAGGATTTGTTTTCTGTTAGATGCCTGACCTGGCCCTGCTTTCCAGGACAAGCAGTAGGCGGTTTAGGAAGGGAGTGACCTTGGGGTGGGTGGTAAAGTAACCATAAATATGGGATGTTTCCAAGGAGCCCACTGTTTGAAGCTTTGGCAGTAATTGCCTAAAAGAGGCGTCTGGGGTTGATGCAGACTATTCAAAAGAGTGTTAGGTTAAAAAAAAAAGTCTAATTAAGGAAGTAGCTTATTTGTAGAATACTGTGTATTTTCTTGTGGCTAATTGAACATAGATATTAGCCAAAATATACCATTGTTTTTAGCAGTAGAATTTTTGAAGTAGCGGTCTTAGTCATATATTATTTGACCTGCATAATGTTTTTTTAAACATTTGAATATTGTCAGTATTTAAATATTAGGAGATTTATTATAAAAATTCAGGTAGCAGACTTCCCCTTTAAAATTGGAAGGCCTGTCAACATTGAGCCCATATTTCTACCAGGTAATAATCACAGCTAAGTGGCCACCTCATTTGGACTGGAGCCTGTACATAACCACTCAGGAAGAGCTGGTGGTTGGTGATAGGGAAGAGTAGCACTGTAGTTCCCTCCATCTATTCACCCTGTCACTTATTTACTCCCCCCGCCCTTGTAGGTATTTGGGTTTATGACCTCTCATAAGTTTACATTATTTCTTCATCTTTGAGAATTCAGAATATTATATGAGCTACTCCATTAGACAGCTACTGTTAGTTACTAATTGAAAGAGGGTAGATGTCTTGGCTTTTCTCGTGTGTTTCTCAAGTAGTCTGGAGAGAAGCTGGCTCTAGATATGCATCAGATGTTAAACCAAAGGATTTGCTGTGGTGTTAGGTAGAACATGTTGAGACTTTGGAGTCTGACTGCTTAGATTTGAATCCTGACTCTGTTGTTAACTAGATGGATGATCTTGGACAGTACACCCTCGATTTTCTCATCTGTAAAATGGGTTTGTTTTGAGGCATAAATAATTTAGCATAGTGCCTAGTACTTAGTAACTGTTCACATTTTAACTGTTATTAGTTTAGTATAAAAATGCTAATAGATGTGTTTCAGAATATTTACCCTACATGTTTTTTTCTCTTTTAGCCAAATGATTTCTCAGTATCACTAAAAGCACAAGGGAAAAACAAGCATTTTAAAGTCCAACTAAAAGAGACTGTCTACTGTATTGGGCAGCGTAAATTCAGCACCATGGAAGAACTTGTAGAACATTACAAAAAGGCACCAATTTTTACAAGTGAACAAGGAGAAAAATTGTATCTTATCAAGCATTTATCATGATACTGCTGACCAGAAATGACTGCTGCACAGCTCTAATTCGTCATGTAATTGAAGACTGAGAAAATGTCAGTCCAGTCATGCTTGATTGGATAGTGCTGTTTCTAACTCTATATGAGAATTGACTATAATACATAAGTATTTTTATTATAACTCAGCCCATACATATATACTACGTATGCAAAGCATCTGCATAAGCAATTCCTTTTCCTTGGTCTTCTGTTTTATTGTTTCTTTTGCTGTTTTTCTCTTTGCTTCTAATATTAAGGTTTTATATTTTGAAAAAATGATGCAGATCAAAAGTCTTTATATGGAAGAATTTCTTCATTGCCTTTCCTTTATTTCCTTGTAAGGGGCACTATATTAGTCATTTCCTCAATGGTTTCTCTTCATATAAAATTATATCAATATATGACATACGCTAAAATAAATTTCTTGGAGAGTGTTAATCATTTCTGTGACTAAATAGCAATAATAAATGGAAAATTAGAAATTATTTTTAGGTATTGTATTTGTCACAAACCATTGTAAATATCAATCAAGTATGTTGTGTCTGCCATTTTTAAAAATTCATTCATTGTCTTCACTGTAAAGCAAAACAAATGGAACATAGGTTAGAAAACATACCTTGTACAGTTTTAATTTACAACTGTTAGAAACAAAAATCTAAATTTCTAAGAACTTTTTGGGGTGCTTCTTTCTTAACTGATTATTCAAGAGAACAAAGCAATTTTCAAACTAAATGGAGGCTCTAGTGTTATTCTCGCCCCCCCACAGTGTTATTTTACCAAAGCATCTTGTGTTGGGATATATCTGTGCCAATGTAAAATAAGCTACAGCCAAATTTGGGGGAAGTAAGAGGCAATGAGATACTTTGTCTTCCCCCCTTTCCCCCTTTCCCCATCCCTAAACATCAATAATTATCAGGTGTAGTATTTCTACTATTTCTATTTTCTCCTCTCAGCTTTGAGTTTTGTTAACCGAGACACTAAAATTGATATGTAAGTGAGGAAAAGATGGGATGTGCTCATGGTTAGAGAAAAGTATTTTTTAAATCTTATTTTTGCAGGTGCTTCTATTACGTTTTTGTTTACAGAAATTTGGGCATATGGATTAGAGACTACTAGAGAGTATTGAATCTAGTTCTGTAATTCACAGAAGAAAATCAGTTGTATTTTATGGTCACAGCTTTTCTCTTCATTATTCTATAGATTTAAATGTAAACAAAGAAACCTTCAGTATTTTAATTGAAAGTTCTTACTAAAATCACAAAACTTGTAAACAGTCGGAAGTCATGTTTTTTCAGCCTAAGCAAATGAATGTTTCCATTTTTAATGTTATAAGCAGACATTTAAACACTAGAATTACTGATGCTAAAATTGAAGTCATCTAATTCATGAAGTTTTTGTTTTTTAAATGTATTTTAAAAATTTTTTTAAAAAATGTTTTAAGTCTTAAAATCATTTTAAAAGACTTGCATTGCCACTGGGTGGCAGGCCTGGCTTCTCTCACTAAGCATCAGGAGTCAGCAAATATAATTAAGACATTGATGTACAATTTTTCATCTTCATTACATCTGCTTTTAAAACCTTTTAGTTTATATTTCATTATCTTTCTCAGTCCCCCTTTGTTTTGTTTTGTTTTAATTTTTAAAATTACAGTTTACATTCAATATTTCATATTAGTTTCAGATGTACAGCATAGTGGTTAGATATCAGCCCCCCCTTTGTTGAAGATGATTAATAGTAGGTAAGTTTAATGGAAATAAAAGTTATGTGTGCTTATCTTTTTTGCTATAAAATCACTTGAATATAAATTGAAGAAAAGTCATAAAGTAGTTTTGAAATAACTAGATAGTAAATATCTTATATTTTAAACATTTTTTTAAAAAATATATCTTTATTGATTTCAGAGAGAGGAAGGGGGGGAGAGAGAGACAGAAACATCAATGATGAGAGACTCATTGATCGGCTGCCTTCTGCACGCCCCCTACTGGGGATGGAGCCACAACCCGGGCACCTGCCCTGACGGAATCAAACCTCAATCTCTTGGATCATAGGTCAGTGCTCAACTGCTGAGCCACGCCGGTCGGGCTTAAACAAATATTTGATGATGCTTTTTTTTTCTCCATCACTTTGTTTTTTATCCAGTCTTAGTAAAAAATGGATGTCTTTTTTAAAAGAGGGAGCAATTAATGCTTTTCATCACAGACATGAGCTATTTATAGCAAAAACCCCACTGAGCTAATGATACGGATTTTGAGAAAGTAGAAACAATGCATATTTCTGTGTCATAATAACTTTCTGTGTTATAATAACTTGAGAGTTCCCAGATAGCCCATATGTGCCAGTAATATCTACTGTGTGCTCTTATTATGGGATGAAAGCCTCACTAAGAACTACTTAATTTTGTACTTTAACATTTTATCAATTTTTTAAAAGTCTTAAACCAATCCTCACACCAATGGCTGGTTTTATAAGCATGAAGTTTACTTGAAGCCATTTTCATAAACAATAACCTTAGAACACATCTACATAGCTAGCTAGTTGCAGGACTTTTGTTACAAACCAGGTTTCCTTGTTCCCAGCCTGGTACACTCATTATCATGACACACTGCCCTCTCTGTGCTTGTTTTTAGACTAGAGAGATTCCTAGGAAGGGTGGTATTATAGAAATTTTCATCACTTGTGAAGAGATGCTTAGCTATCAGTTTAAATACACGTAGCACAGATAACCCTGCCCAGTCTACTTCCACAAATAACTTCTCCAAAATCTTGGAAGAAGGTTTTCAAAACTGTGTAAGCTCAGTAAGTAAAAGCTATTGCTGCTGTATGTTAATATACATCTTCCACTAGACACAGTTAACACAGGCACCTAGCACTATTAATGGCGGTGTGTCACATATATCACTGAGTAGGAGAGGAAGGCTAAGTGCAATCCATTGCTATCGCTGGAAGAATAACGGCCTAGCAGATGAGCAACTTGAGTGGTTAGAATGTCACTCCAAAAAGAAAAGGAAAAAGGTTCATCCTTACAGATACATGGCACATCAGTTATCGCCAGCTTTAATGTTCTTAATTCTATCATCTAGTCCAGAGATTGCAAAGAAGCTGGTTACTTCTGTCTGTAGGGACTTTTGTGAAAATAAGAAAAGGCACCTCTTCCTCCCAGGCAGGTCAGCCCCTTTTCTTACTGAGAAGTCTGAATTTACACTGTACGTACGCAGTCCTCCCCCACTCCATCTTGACTAGGGTATGCTGTTCAGGGTAAAACCAAATAGTTGTAGCCACACAATGCTTAAAGTGATTGTTAACATTTGAAAATTGGGGAATTTCACACAAAATTTCAGAGTTCTGGTTTCCCCTGAAGAATGATTAGCTGACAATACTGGAGATGAATTCCTACAAGACAACTATCATATAGAGCATAATAAGGATGTTCCCCTTATTTTTACCAATACACATGGGGGAAAATCAATGTAAAAAGTCTTTTCAACCCTTATCCTTCACACCTGCAAATGCAGTTACTGTTGCTCTCTATTTTACCTGTAATGGAGAATTTTCAGTTTGGAATCTGGAAGCTATCATTTGTCAGAAACATTTTAAATGCAATGTCCAAATAAATTAGGAATGTAACATGGTATACTTTAACTATTCCGTTTTAATATTTTGCTAGAAGATAAGGGGTTCTTTGTAATGTATATAGGTCTTCTGTTTCTAAATGACCTCACAACTGTAGTCACTTCTTCCTTAAAGGAGATTTGATATATTGGATAGGTGACATCCTAATTTTATGTTCTGAACAACATCCAGTGAACTCTCTAAAAAATGCCACATTACTGCTTCTGGGGGAAACCATTATTTGATTTTATCGCAAGGCAAGATAGGAAGCTCCTCTCTTCTGATTCTATTGGTTTAGCAAGTTTATATGACTCAACTCGGTCATCTTCTAAACACTTATAGACTAGCATACTATGCATACCACACACCCTAATTCTTGCTGTTATATGACTAAACCAAGTGGCAGAGGAACAAAAGTATATTTTTCTAGTTTACTAACAAGGTGTTTTTTTTATCTGAAAGTATACACAGTTTGCTGAGACTTGCTTGTTTAATGAGTAGCACCTAAATTGGGTTTGGTGAGGTTTTGAAGAGCAGGAGGAGTTTTCCAGTTATCATTGGCCATGTTCACAGAGGTAGATGTCTTAAACCAAAGTGTCTTTTTGAGAATATGTTTCCAGCTGGAACACATCAAGTATTTCAGAATTGGCCTGATTACTACAATGGCCTAACACAAACATTTAATTTATCTACTGGGCTGGCTAACTTTTAAATGTTTCAATTCAAATTACTTTTTAAGCTGTTTTTAAAGCTCACAGGAAAGCTGGCCACAGTGTTTTGGAATAATGTTACAAATTTTATTTGTATTTATAACTACAGAAGATAAGACAATACTCAATTTTCACGTTTTCCTGTACCTCTGGAATGATGATGACCTTCAAACTGGAAAACAAACATAAAAATAAACAATTGAAAATAGACATCTAAGGTTGTAAGATATTCAGTTGCTTTAAATAAATCTCTGGGCTCAAATAATGTATAACTTATGTAGAAAATTTGCAGATAGACTTTGGGAAATGACGGAGACAGGTGGATTCCAGGATGAGACTGAAGTGTTGTCTGCTTGACTCTTAAACACAGGAGTGGTTATTAAATTGATACTTTTTGAGCCCTTATGGAAGAAATGAGTAATCCTTGAATACCCATGTCTTTTCTAGGAGCAAGTAATGGCAAACAACCTCCTTGTTTTGATATGTTTTCTAGATTATAGGTGAAAGGGGATGTTACAGAAAACAAATAGTGATTTCATCAGGGCATGTGCTGATTGCTTGGTGTCAAGATGAAAAAATCTTTTTTGAACTGGTATGGTTGTGCGTCTAATACTTAAATAGTTTTTGGAGATGTTTGTCCAGCATCCAACCATCCAACCAACTCACCTCAAATATTTGATTGCTCAGGTGCTGGACTTTTTTAACCTGGCATATGATAATGAAAATGGACAAAGTCGTCCAAAAGCTGTCATAAAACTTACATTTCTAGTGATACAATGCCTGATGGAGAAGTACTCTGAAGAAAAAGCAGGTTGAGGGGGCTGGGGAGAGAGAGTTGGGGTGTTGATTTATACAAAATGATCAAAAGAGGCCTCTGAAAAAAATTGACCTTTGTGCATAGTGTGTGCTCCACATAACAGAATCACCGATAACTATTATTAAACCACTGGTTGAGTGAAAATACAGCAACCAAAGTCATTTGAAAATTATGTTAAGATCTTCACTATTACAGAGCATTTCTTCTGATTTCCAAATTTTAAAATGGAATAAAATGGTATTTGTTTTATTTAAATGTGGAACTCACTACAGAGGGAGTTGTTGGGGAATGTCACATAGAAAAAAAATGGTTATGACTACAGGAAGGACAGCTTGACATACTTAGGGGCTTTATTTGATCACACCCTAAGGAAAGAATTGAGGTTAAGGGAGGTTAAATTCCTAATGCTCTGCTCTGGTGGCCACACAATAAACTAGGGAGGAAATTGAAAAACTAAAGTATGTTTCCAGGAGGTGTAAAAGGGCTACAAGAATCCTGAAAACTAAAGCTTGACAGTGTGGAAATTATATCTGAGCAGATTCAGTAGAAGCAGGAGTTAGTAAAATCTAAGAGAATTCCACTGCTTAAATACCCTG